ATCCACATGGGTGTGTCTCTTCATTTTGGGCTCACGAATGTACAACTGGGCCTGTTGTATATGACCCAAATCGGATGTTGGGCCTATTCCCAACATTACTACCCCCTCAGTATTTGGTTGACAAACTGGGTTGAAAGCTCTTTTGGCCCTACGTACGACCTAGAGAATGAGGGGGAGGGCGAATTTTTTTGGGCTCTGGGTGATCTCACCTGTGGCCAAAATGGGCGACCTGAACTCAAGGTGACCTCATTGGGCATCTAAGGATAGATTGAATTCACGTTGAGCGTGTGAGGGTGAACTGACATCGAGGTAATCTTATTTACACGAATTTGACGCCCATTAATGAGCTCAACGAGCTCACAAAGGCAAGCTCGCGCAATGAATTTCTAATTTCCAACTGCAGCAAATCTAGAAAAAGGTGAGATCCTTAGTACTGTGTGTGTCACGTACAAGGTGAGCTCATCTATACTATCATGCAAGCAAGCAAACATTCGACGACCTGAACCACGCTAGTTTTTCAAAAGCTCTAAAGCAAAGTATTGAGATCGCCATGCTATTACCAGGATAAATTAAAACACTACGAAGAAGATGCGATCAATACAGTGTGCTAAAGAGCGACCTCAATCGCCCTAAAAGAAAGTATATCCTTGAGGTGCGGAGCAAATCGGTACAACCTGATCTCTAGGATTTAGCAAATCTCTAGGAGATGCGTTTTGTTACGACTTGATCTCTGGGATTTGGCAAATCTCTAAGAGATGTGTTTTGTTACGACTTGATCCTTGGTCATTTTTTAAATTTAAATTTCAATGTAAAACGAGATCTCTAAAGAGATATGGCTCAGAGTGGTTAGTATCCCTCAGTCATCCCCACAATAAATGCTGGCTCAGCATTTTAAGAGACGTGACAGCTAAAGCTGGTAGACGTTACACGCCAGGCCATAAATAGCTCCCACACGTAGGATTTTAATTGGTTGTCAGAAAGGCGCGTACGGTAATCATGGGCATGATCGCTTAACTCGTTTTTCATTTCTCTTTTTCCTTTGGCATTTCTGTTTCACCATACTCTCTGATTTTCTGCAGCAAAGGACTTCGAAGCTTTTGAGGTGAATTTTTCAGAAGATATCAGATTCGAATTTTTCAGGTAATAACAAATGGAATTTTTTAGAGAACTTGGAGAACTCCGAGGTAACCAGGGTAAGGAAGAGGAAGAGAGTGTTATGTCTGTAAAGCCTATCGCCATGATAGTATCGTCGGAACTGCAAGATCTGTCGGAAACCTCTACGCTAGAGAGCAGTGCCAGTTCGAGTGCACATGAGGGCTTTGGTGGTCATCATTCGTTGCCATCTAAGGGGTCATCGTTAGAAAGGACTGCAAGTGCTAGAGAAGGTGTGGGAGAGGGCCATAAGCAGTCCTTTGTTGGAAAATGTGGGCGTGGATGTGAATGTGCCCCTGTTGCAGGTTGGGAGAACAAGACCATAAGTGGTAGACTAAGCAACCTTCGCAAGGCACCGCAGACATTGGGTGCTGGATTTAGGTTCAGAGCGAACCTTCATCATGAGGTAGCAGATAGCGCCACCTCCATAAAAGGATATAAGAGACTGGAGGACATAGTGAGGCAGTATCACGTCCCCAGAACAATTTTGATTCGAATTGGCACCAGGAACAAAAGGGCCTGCACAGTGTCGCAAACAAGGTGGATACCAGTGTATGTGGATCACTTCAATGCCAGCCTGCGATTCCCTCTACCAGGGCTAATTTTTGACATTCTGGCAGAGTACGAGCTGGCACTAACATAATTAACCCCCAACAGCATAAACTTTATTATAGGATTTATGCTATTGTGTTCGAGGCTAGAGATACTGGCCAGAGCAGTTGTGTTCAGATCGCTTTTCTTGTGCCGGTTAAGTCCCACTCGAACGAGGTGGCACTACATTTCTGGGAGAGAAAAGATGATGATTTTCAACTATGTGAGGAATAAGGTCTCCAGATGGAAGAGACAATTCGTTTTTGTCAAGGATACACGAACAGAGAGGATCAGTAACGATCTGGCTATCATACTTATATGAATTATCCCACGCTAACGCCTGACGACCTGGCACTTAAAGATAGAATAACGGGGGCTATGTAGGAGCAGAGGGGTTAGTTGATTTGGAGGCCCTAGTTACCCCTGAGGTGCTCACTATGCATGGGTTTATGGATGTCGCAATCCTATTCAGTGAAGGTATATTTCTATTGTAAATTATAATTTTTCACTGAGCTGAGTCTTATTGCATTTGTTTGTGCAGGAGAGATGAGTAGCATGCTTGAGAGACAGCGTGAACGAGCTCAGCGCTCACAAACTCGAGTGCTGGGTCTAGCACGCATAGGCAGACGAGCTTTGACAAGCGACTGCTTGTAGCTCCACCTCGCAGCTCGTCACAAAGAGAGTGAGGCTTCAGCGAGGCTTCACGGCCACACACCGAACGTCGAGTTAAAATCATCTCTGCTGACTCTCGGAGGTGTGCTCGCGAAGACTCTAACGTTGAGGATGACATGCCACTGATTCGGTGTAGATTGAATTTTGGGACTCAATCTGGTGCGGTACGTTCACCTGATGCGCCCACTGCCTAGGCACGTGACGTTGTTGAGGTGTTGCCAACATCAGCATCAAGCATGGGCCCCAGGATTGCATACCTTGAAGGTTTTAGCTATACGAAAGCTGACTATCAGGTCGCTATGGTTTAGGGTATGCAGAATTTTGTACCACCTGCGGACCGTTAATGTGCCAAGGGTTATATTCAGTAGCATGAGAGTCATGCTGCTATGTTGAAGCTAATGGACGTGAGTCTTTTTGTTAAACAATCACGCTATCTGTTGTATTAATTTTATATTAAACACTAACTATAGAAATGCTGTTACAGGCGTTAAGCTATTCGGTGGCTTTGTTTGAGAATGAGCAGGCAGCTCGCGGGCAAAATTGTGAGCTGAATGACACTTGCAAGCGTTTGACATCTGACAAGGCGAGCTTGGAGGATGAGGTTAACCATTTGCAAAGCTTGGAGATGGCTGACAAGGCTGCATCAGCTGAGAGCTGGGCTGATGAGTTGGCCAACAAAGTCAACCAGCTAAAGGAGGAGTTGAAGAAGGTTCAGGCCGAAAAGGAGATCGGGATCCAGTGACCATGGATGAGGTCGTTCGCACAGTGGATTGCGCTAAAAGGGCAAAAGTTGACAGGGACAACGCTTTGAACGAACTTAGTGCTCTCAGACGATGGGTAGCAGCAGTTGATCAGGATCTTGCCCACGTAGAAGAAGGGCTGAGGAAAGCCAAAACTCAACATTAGCGCTACATAGACATTGTGCGAGCTCAAGGAGCGGAGTGACTGGTTAGTGTTGATATGTTCAAGGATGTCGTAGCTGTGGCCTCCATGAACACCACGACGGAGATCTTTAATGACGTCTGTCAAAAAGTACTAAAGTACCAATCAGACTTTCCAATAGGCAAGTTGGCGTTTGTTGAAGGTGAAGAGTTTGATGAAGAGGGTAAGAGCCTTGCTTCCCCTACTGACACCATTGTGCGGCTAAGGTGGGAGCTAAACGAAGATGGACTGCCTATATGGCCTCCATCTATCTTGGAAGAGGGGGAGGATTTTGAGAACTTGCCCAGGTTCGACTCCTGGGTGGGTGACGCACCTGAAGAGGAAGCTGAACCCTCAAGAACCCCACCTACACCTCAACCCATCACCACTGCTACTGTTCCTTCTCCAGCTCGTGCTGACGCATCCGTTCCCATTGATTCCCATTGATTTAATAGATGATTAGAATTTAGGCTTTATCTTTTTCTTTTGAATTTTTGGTGTTAATATTTCCATGTCTAGGACAGATTTTTGTACTTGCTCTGATATTATATGTAACACTTTTGCAAGAAATACAACTAGACATTTTTTTGGAATGTTTTGTGTATTATGCACATTGTATTTATACATTTTTCATTCTCTCAGCATGCTGAGCAACAATACAAATTAATTGTAATATTTCCTAAGATTATGAATATTCCATGTGAATGGTAGCTGTCGACCTTGTGAATCTGCTAATATGAAAACCCAGGTTGTTTGATTTGGATAACCATGTAAAGACCTTCCCAATTAGGAGCGAGTTTGCCCATGTTCGAATATGCATTAGTGAGTCCACTCTTCCATAGAACTAAGTCACCGACCTGAAACTGGCAAGCCCGTACCCGCGTATTGTAGAACCTAGCGACGCAACCCTAATACACCATGTTTTTAATCCTAGATATTTCCCTAACCTCCTCGACAAGGTTTAGGTTTTCTCTTAGGAGTTGCTCGTTATCAGGATTATCATGCCGGGCAGATTTGTTAGTGAATAAACCTACTTCAACAGGAAGGACGGCCTCGACCTTGTAAGCAAGGGAGAATGGGGTTTCTCCCGTAGCCGACTTAGGAGTTGTACGGCATGACCATAACACCTTGTTGAGCTCGTCAACCCAATTGGAATGTGCGGCTAAGACGCGTGTCTTAAGTCCTCACAAGACGATCTTATTAGCTAATTCTGCTTGTCCATTTGACTATGGAGTGTATACAGATGCAAGGGAGAGCTTGATACCGTAGTCATCACAAAACAACCTGTGTGCCGTAGCTCGAAATTGAGGTCCATTATCAGCAATGATTCGTCTGGGAATACCGAACCTGTACATAAATGATTTGGTTGAGCCACTGTATGTGTAGACACAGTGTGTAAGGTTTAATCAGCTAAAAAATACTTGCACAATATGGAATTGAATAAAAATTCTTCTATCTTCTTTTTAGTTGTTATGGACAATGGTTTGGCTTCTATCCATTTAGTGAAGTAATCTACAACAACAATGAGGTGTGTACAGCCTCCTTTACCTTTGATAAAGGGTCCGAGGAGGTCAACTCCCCATTGAGCAAAAAGCTAGGGCGATGTGAGAGAAGATAACATTTCCCCTGTTTACGAGGAGATTTTTGTTTAGTTTAAAGACAAGAATGGAGTTTATGCAAAGTTTTGGACGAGCTCAGATACCTGGCATGTGAATGTCATTAGCATTGAACTGGCAGGTCGGGCACTTTTTAACGTAACTTTGCGCGTCTTCGACCATGGTAGGCAAGTAAAATCCCTGTCTTAAAATCTTCTAAGTTAGGGTCTTTCCTCCTATATACGTGCCACATACTCCTTCATGAACTTCTCTTACTGCATATTCAGCTTCATAGGGAGTGAGACAGCATAGTAGAGGCATTGAAGCTGCTCGTTTATACAACTGATCATTAATTAAGGAAAAATGCGCCACTCTACGCCTAACCAATCGAGCATTAGATGGATCCTCAGGCAATTCACCATTCCACAAGTAATTAATTAAGGGCATAGTCTAGCTCGGCGATGAGGGATCTGTACTTAAGATTAGGCACTCGTCCTTCAAGTTAGTGTAGCTCGGTGCGTCAAGGATCTCAACAACTGTTGCTCTGTGAGGATTGATATCTTGCGACGAAGCTAGCTTTGATAACTCATCAACTCGTCTATTATCTGCCTTTGGTATCTTATCAATCTGAAATGAAATAAAGCTTGCCTTCATCCTGCTGACCACAGATGCGTAATGACTGAGCTGAGGGTCTCTGATATCACAACTTTCGTTTACTTAGTTTACTACAAGTTGAGAGTCACTAAAGACTCTTATGTTCTACGCTTTCAGCTCGGATGCTAACTTTAGACCATAAATGAGTGCTTCATACTCGACGGCATTATTCGTTGTCTTAAAGTTGAATCTCAGTGCATGCTCAGATTTGAAACCATTTGGGCCTATTAGCATTGTCCCTGCCCCTGATCCTTCAACACTTGCTGCACCATCTACAAACAAAGCCCATACCGGTCTTGACGGTGTGGCTTCTTTTACAGCTAACGGGTGGCACTCCACTATGAAGTCTACTAAAACTTGACCCTTAATGGTTGTGTGGTTGAAATTTGGGGTCATATTCACTCAGCTCGACCACCCACCCAATTAGCCAACTGAAAAGCTCCAGCTTCTGCAATATCTTTTTTAGCGGTAGGTCGGTGTAGACAACAATTTCGTGAGATTGCAAATAGGCCCTTAGCTTTCGGGCGGTGCAGACGAGTGCAAAAGTAGCCTTTTCAGTAATGGGATAATTTCGTTCTGCGCCTTGCAAGACTTTACTGATATAACAGATTGGCTTCTGATGTTTATCTTGCTCCCTTAGCAGAACTGAGCTAAGTGCCTCCTCTGTGATCCCCAGAAACAAGTACAATTTTTCCCCTTCAACAGGCTTGGAGAGTAAAGGTGGTGACGCTAGGTATTGCTTGAGCTCATCAAAAGCTTGTTGGCATTCATTCGTCCACTAGAAGTTTTTTGGCTCTCGTAAAGCTCTGAAGAATGGGAGGCGTTTTTTTGCCGACCTAGCAATGAACCTGTGTAGGGCAGCGAGATGACCTGTTAGACGTTGCACATCTTTTATTATCTTAGGGGGTTCCATTTACTGCACAGCCTCAACTTTATCTAGGTTTACCTCAATTCCTTTCTTGGACACCACATACCTTAGGAATTTGCCCGATTCCACAGCAAATGTACATTTCAATGGGTTTAACCTCATCTGCACTCGGTGTAGGTTTTGAAATGTTTTCCTTCAGGTCGTCAATATGATCCTCAGCTCACACATTGGTGACAATTATATCATCAACATATACTTCAATGTTTCTACCGATCTGAAACTTAAAGACGACTTGAACTAACTTCTGATATGTTGCACCAACATTCTTTAAACCGAATGGCATCATAACATAGTAATAAATTGCATCCCTTGCGTAAAATGCTGTCTTCTCCTGGTCATCCAACCATAACTGAACTTGATGATATCCCGAACTGGCATCTAAAAAACTCATGCGTTCATGACCAGCAGCTTGCTCTACCAACTTTTCAACATTAGGCAATGGGTGGGGATCCTTAAGGCACGCCTCATTCAAGTTGGTGAAGCCAATGCACATCCTCCACTTGCCGTTGGGCTTCTTGACAAGCACATGATTGGACACCCATTGTGAATAGTTAACCCGCCTAATAAAACCTGCTTGCAACAACTTCTATATCTCTTCATCTATTGCAGCTTGCTTCTCCGGGCCCATAAGGCGACGTTTTTGCACCACTGGTCTTCTGGTCGAGTCTGTGCTAAGCTTGTGGACTTCCAATTTTGCCGGAATTCTGGGCATTTCATCTGTTATCCATGCAAAGACATCTTGGTTGGCTTTTAAGAACTCCAGGAGCTTTTCTCTCTCTTTCTTTGTGAGCTTAGTTCCAATTTTCACCGTCTTTTCTGGATCATTGGGGTTCAATGGAACGGTTTTTACTAGCTCAACTGGTTCAGCTTTTTGTTCAACATTCTCTGGACGGTGGTCTATGTTAGAGATGCTCATCGCCTGTAGACCCGGTTGGTTTGGTCTAGTAACCAGAGAAGGAGTTTTTGGCATTGCAGTGAGTTCATCTTTCTTGAAAGTGTGCTAGTAGCATGTTCTAGCCAATTTTTGGTTTCCTTTGAGCACCCTTATTCCCTGAGGAGTTGGGAATTTCATGCTGAGGTGTGGTTGGGAAATGATAGCTTTTAGCTCGCAATGCGTGGCTTTCCTAATTATGGCATTGTATGCTGACTCCATCTTAACCATCAAGAAGCTGATGGACGCCATCCTAAACCACAGTTCCGTACCTACATAGATTGGAAGAGTTATCACCCCTTCAATCAGAACGAGCTAATTATCAAACCCATAGATAGGCCCCTTATATTTCTGCATGGAAGCTGGGTTTAATTGCATCTTCTGAAAGCAGCTCCAATATAAGATATTAGGAGAGCTACCTGTATCAATGAAGACTTTATTGACGTTATGATTGCCTATGCGAACTGTTGCCACGAAGGGGTCTGCATCAGGCATCACAACATCAGGCTCTACCCCTGTCCGTTTATAATCAGTAGGACTGAATGTAATGGGTCTATTCTCCCATTCCGCTTCTTCAAATGGTTGTTTTAAGGGTCTATTTTTGTCTACTGGCATCACTTGGCGAGCGTAAGTCTTACGACCTCAGGCACTTTGTCTTCCTGAATGCATGCCACCAGAAATCATGTTGATTGTGTCAGATGGCGAGGGTATCCCACTATAACCGACCCCTCTATGATCTTTTTGATGCTGTTCAGAGGTTCTGTCCCTGTCCTCATCGATTAAGTGGGCGTCCTCTATAGGTTCTGGCAGATTCAGATGAGTATTGATTCCCCTGGTAATGATTTTGATTGACGCCAAGCTGATATCCTTGTCCTTGAGATCGGGAATATTCTTGCACAAAGTGGGTTTGATTGAGTTGCTGGGCATAAGGTTTCTGGACATATCCATCCAATTTTCCATTGCGAGCTAAGAATTCCAGCTCGTCCTTCAAGCTCTAACAGTCTTCTGTGTTATGACCGTATCCCCGGTGGTAGTCACAATATTTGCTCCTGTCGGCTCCTGGATATTCATGCATCTGAGGAGGTGGTCTCTTAACCCAATGTTGTATCTGTGCTAATATTTGAGACCTTGATGAGCTCAATGGGATATAATTGGCATATCTTGGGAAGGATATTGGCTTTCCTCTCTGCCCGCCCACTTTCTACTTTTTCTTTTCTTCCCTCACTTTTGGCTATTTGTGCTCTTTACTTTGTTTATCGTTAGCTCGCCGTTTAGATGATTGAAAGTCTTCTAACAATATGAAACTTGCTAACCTATCATTTACTTCATTCCATGACTTCGGTGGATTTTTTAGTAGGTCATCTAGGAACCAACCAGGTTTTAGGCCGTGCAGTAGGGCTGACAAGCAGATGGTATCAGGGACATTATCAATGTCCAAGGTGACTTTGTTGAACCTTTGCATATAGTCTCTCAAAGACTCTCCTTCCCTCTAATGAACTTGCATTAACTTAGTAGCAGTACGCTTAATCTCCCTCTGGCTCACAAATTTGTTAGAGAATAGTGTGGTGAGCTGGGGGTATGAAGCTACAAAGTGCCTGGGGAGCTTGTGATACCATCTTCTGGCAGTTGATTTCAATGTTGCGGGGAATACCTTGCACATCATTGCATCAGTAGCATATGGAATCTTCATGATGGCCTAATAGGTGTGTAAATGTTCATCCGGGTCGCTAGAACCTTCATATGTTTCTAAATGGGGAATTTTAAATCCCTCCTGATATGTTTTCGTAGTAATGGATTGATTGAGAGGGGCACTGTCCAAATCCAAGACTTGCTGTCGTGACCTTGGACTCTTTAGCTCATCAACAGATCTTTGTATGTCTTTTAATTGCTTCTCAAGTTTCGTGTTTTTCTTCATTAATTCATCACTGTGTTTGGATGAACTGGGCTCTGGATTTAGCCTTCCACTTCCCCTTGGCTTGGTTGGAACCACTACATTACTTAAAGCTGGGGAGTTACAGGTGGCAACTACTATTGTCGACTGTTCACCCCTATTCAGTAGAGGGATTAAGAGGTCATCAGGGATTAGATGAGAGAGAATTTTTCCCATGGCCATTTCTAAAACTCTGGTTCTTTCTTCCAGCTCGGTCGTCAGAGCAACTTCCATGGGTCTCTCAAGTCGTGAAGCATTTTGTCTGGAATGCCTTCACCTAGCTTCCGCGGGGACATGAAAATGTTCTTCAGGTTGGGTTGCATACCTAGGAGGTGTTCATTCATCATCTGAAGTATTTGATTGTTCTTGTTCTGCTCCTCCCACGAAAAGGTTTCTCGGCATTGGTTGGAAGTCGTTCAGATCACTTTCCAAAAGCTGAGTATGGTCCTGGTCGTCCATGTTGCCTCTTGGGGGGTGGTTTCCTGTGAAAGTACGTACCATTTTCAGCTCGAGCTAGTTAAGTCGCAGCACTTTTTGTTCAATTCCCACAAACGACGACAAATGTTTGGGTAGTTTCATAAGTTCTTCTGTTTAACTCAAACTGTAGACACCTTCAGCTACTTCAACACCTGAAAATCCCGAGGATGTTTCCTCGGGGAAAACACTCCGACGCTCAAGTTAGCAATACTCCGAGTTATAGAAAGAGAAGCTCTCAAGAGTAATTGCAGAGAGAGAAGCGTAGTGAAGTTAATACCTTGCATGGAAGTAGTTGGGGGGTATTTATAGTCTCATCTACTGATAGGAGTCCATATGTGTATGGATCCGATTGGCTCACGTGTCATTACCCACATGGGTATGTCTTTTCATTTTGGGCTCACGAATGTACAATTGGGCCTATTGTATATGCCCGGATCGGATGTTGGGCCTATTCCCAACAATAGCTAAAGGTGTATTAAACTGAAAAATATACCAATCATTTTTCCTTTTCAACTGATTCAACATGACGATAGATTAATTTTATCAATAGAAATAATTCGCATCTTTGCCACCTTGGTTGAAACTTTTTGCATCTTGGAACACCCTCTTCATCAATTACTCTATAACTTCGCCTAGTTACCCTTATAAATTAGTTATGCAATTCTTTAATTTTTAGTACCCTTCATTTGAATATCAATGACGAATCGCCTCATCTTTCATCTTTTACTCGTTTAAGAAATATAAGAATAAATCACTAGCTTCTTTTTTTGTTATAATTAGTATATATAGGTCGCTAACTATGCTGTGAAGAGAGCTCACCTGACATAAGAGAAATTAAAATAACACCTTGAATCTAACTCGACAATGACCAAATACTTGTAAAAGGATTCTAATTGAAATAGATTATTTGAGCCTGTTAAACGTTAGTTTTGGTAGAAACTTGTATGTTGAAATGTGAATTCCTATAAAATTGTTAGGAGTATTTAATCAACACAATTTCCCTCAACGTTTTTATAGAAAAGTAAAGAAGAATCACACACACCAATTTAACATTAAAAACCTTAAAATGAAAAAGAAAACTACGGAAAAAGAAAAAAAGCACTTGCTCACTAGCTTCCAAATTTCTCCAGGAACCCTTTCTTGATTTTTCATTAAGAAGTATCTCCCCTACATAGAAGCTCTTAAATATAACCTCTAAGAATCTCTTATAAACTCTCTCACAATATATTTTAAATTTGCTAATAACATGTACCCCCTATATCTTAAAAAAAATTGTCTTTTCTTTTTTTATTTTTTTTTAAATTAAGGATTTGGGAACAATATTTATATTTATCTATAATACTCTTAAATAAAAAATAAAAAATAAAAAATATATATATATATTTGTGATTGGATGATTAATTAAAGTGCATGAATAATGATATGGTTAAAATAAAAAAATATATATTTGACTACCTTAAAAAATAAAAAAATAAAAATAAATGTAAAATAAAAAAGGACAATTAGTTTGGAAGAGAGATTATTTAAGTAATCATTAAATAAAAGTATATGGAGTTCGGTAATTGGTACTAAAAAAATAACATTAAATTAATAAAAACTGAAAGGAAATGACATTAAGGGACAAGCTTTGGGAATCATCCCCCAAACCCATTTAAAACTTTGATTGGAGACTCCTTTTCTTTTGGGAAGGTTAATCTTATTGAATTGGAGACTCCATAAATATGTTAATATTTCCTATATATATATATATATATATGATAATAAAATTTAAATCGCCTAAGGGTCTTCCTGGATTCCAGCTTCCTGTGGCTTCTCTGCCGAGGCATTTTTACTGTCATCCACCGCGGCAACCGCAGCGGCTGTTCCGGTTAGCGTCGTCTTGGCTCTTTCTACCTCGAAATTCCAATCCGTTCTAGCCAAAACCACCATCATGGTCACCGCACACAACATCTGTGCAGCCAGAAGACCCATCCAGAGACCCTGGAAATCAAACCCTGCAAAAAATGCTAATCCCACCGCCACCGGCGTACCCACCAGGTAAAAGCACCCCAGGTTTATGTTTGCCCCGACTTTCGGCCTCGCCGTGCCTCTTAGCACGCCGCATCCAGTTGTTTGCGGGCAATTTCCGAGCTCGCAGAGCCCAATTATGGGCAGAACCGTTGATGTCAATTTGACAATCACTTCATCTTGAGTAAACATGGTTGCCCATTTGTGCCTAACCGTAATTGCGAATACCAGAGCCGAGCAGCCAAGCAGGATGGCACCGGAAAGGCCAACGAAGGCTGCGCGCCTAGCCCTTCGGGGTTGCTCTGCTCCTAGTTCGTTTCCGACTCTGGTTGACACACTGAAGCTAAGAGATGATGGGAAAATGTGAATTAGCGATGTGGTTTGAATCAGAATCCCCATTGAAGCAACGGTGGCTCTTGGGTTAATCAACAATCCGCAGAGCAAGATCATGATCTCGTACCACCACCATTCAAGGCAAACGGAAATGCAGCTGGGAATTGCCAGATTGAGCAGAGACTTCCATTCTTTGAAGCATTCCATCGAGAAACCTCCCCACGTTTTTTCATGGACGCGGGAGATGAGGATATAAAGGACTATCAAGGCTACGAGATTGAAGTTTGCCAACACCCCACTGAGGGCAACTCCTTTGACCCCCAATTCAAAGTGCGAGACTAGGAAGTAACTAATGGGTATGTGAAAAAGGAGGGACAAAATTGCACAGAAGGTTAGAGGCAGAGTTATGGATTGAGTTCGGAGATAGATTCTCAATGGGTCCAGAAGAGATTGGGCTAAGAGGTCAGGAAGAGAGTAAAGAAGGTGTAATTGTGCTTCTGCTGCAATACCTTCATCTTGCCCGCAGAGGAGTAGGATTCTTTTCATATTTAGCCAAAGAAGAGAAATGGGAATTGAGGTAAAAATGAGAAGAAGTACTGTTCTTTGCAAGGTGAGGCCTAGAAGTTTGTAACTCTTGGCACTAAAAGCTTGAACACAGGAGCATTCCATTCCCATGGCAAGCCCGGAAAGAATGGAGTAGCCAGTGATATTAGCAAATACAATAGCTAGTGAACCACCAGCTAAGGCCAGCTCGCCTTGACGGCCGAGAAAGATCATGGATATCAATGGGCGGAGGTAGAGCATGAGGCCTGTTAGTATCATGGGAAATGCTATTTTAGCAATGGATATTGCTTCCTTGACTAGAGGACTCACCTCAGCATTTTCGGGCTCAACTTCTGGGGCCTTCGTTCTCAATGCTGTGTGTATGTTGGGATTTTCAGGGTCGTCTTTGTTCGGCAGACGGTATGAGTGAGGTGGATTGCAATTGCAGGGATAAGAGGAGGAAGCCAGTTGACACATTTTTTAATAAAAAATTAGTAGGAACTAATGTTGAACAGGGAGCAAGGGAGGGGATTGAGAAGCGCAGAAGGTTGAGGGGGAGTTTAGGAAAGAAACGTCCCACGGTATTTATAGAAGTTGGGAGGAATTTTATAAAGCCAACTTGGCCTTGAATTTTTGCAACCGAGAAAGCATTTTTTTTGTGATGTATATAAACGTAGTAATATAATGGACTCTGTATAACGTATTAGAAGGTGAGAATCCATGTCGTTAACTATAAGATTCGAAATTTAGTACTTTCATTTTTCGTTCTTTCCATTAACGCATTCCATGCTCTGATTTTCAATTCACACGGTTTTTACAAAATAGAAAAGACAAGATTTTGCATTAAAGTAATTTAGGGGAGTCAAAGGTGGTGTTGTGGCGTTTATTGGGACCACTGTAGGAACAGCAGCAGAAAGTGTACTTTACTCTGGGAAGCAACAAAATGGGTGTTGGTCTCTTAGTGTATGGACTCATTTGGAAACGAACCAAAATGCCTATCAGGTTATAGGACTCGCTTGCCACCCTTAATTTATCCGCTTTGGCCTTTGCGGATGGGCCGGCCTTGCGATTGC